GTGTGGCATGAGCCAGACCCTAGAAATCCTGAAGGCTAGAATTCACTGCTGGAACTTAATTCTAGAGGAGATGAGCAACAAGTACAAGTTTTTATTACAGGCCAAAAAGTATCCTGGCTCTGGTACAATTTTGAAGAAATTAATAATGTAGTGGCACCATCTATTACAGTGACCTGAAGCCAAGGGAACCGTCCATGTGCACGGGCTATTCTTCTTGTCGATGATGGTGGCGTTTGAAACAACCACAGATGAAAGCCATGAAAATGAAACATTTTATTTTCTAAACCAAAAAGTCCCAGTCAACAAAAGTTAGTATCAGAGAGGCAATTTGGCACTCTCCTCCATAGCTGCCCAGAGTGAAGAGGTTCGAGATGTGAAGTATTGGGTGTGAAGAAGAAAGCTTTGCGGTGTGTGTGAAGATACCCTTTAGTGGTCCTCTTCTGAGAGCCAAGTTCACAGCAACTATATGAATCTTTTATGTCTTCTTTCCCTGTGCTCCAAAGATGCTCTGGGGAAAGTGAGTGAAGAAAATTCAGTGGAAGGAAATAATGAAAAGCCCATCCACTGGCCATCTCCGTCACACCCCCGTGTGGGGCTGCCACCACTGAAGAGTCAGTTACAGTGGCATCTAAGCCGAGCATCTTGAAGAGAAAACTGTCAATCTTCTTGACTGAGACTTCTGAACACATTCTTTTCTTTAACATAATGATAAGCACAAAGGTTTTGATTTGCAACGGCATCATTTTTATCGAAAGCATGTTGAAAGAACACATCCTGACTTGTAGTATATCCCTCTGCTGGCTGTGTGATCTTAGGCAAGTTACTTCTCCTTTCTGAACTTCAGCTTCACTGATTGCGAAATGAGGATAGTGATTCCTACCTCAGAAGATGATCGTGAGCAAGGTGCTTGGTACCTAAACAGTACTCTATGAATGTCAGTGAACTTTACCTTCCTCATATAGAAGCAGGGAGTTAAAAGGGTGAGGTTCTTAGTTATTCTCAGTCCATATCTTTAAAAAAAAGTATCTACTATTTATTTATTTATTTATTTGCCCAAGAATATGTATTTTTATATGCTGGATATTCCTCTAGGCACTGGGAGTACAGACAAGGCCCCTCTCTTCATGGAGCTTATATACCCTGGGGCAGAGACAGGCAGCAAATAAGTAAACACATAAACAATATAATAAGTCTAAATGAAGACAATAAAATAATATGATAGAGATAAGAGGGCCTGTTACAGAAAGGGTGATCAGGAAAGGCCTGGAGTAATAATCTTTGAATTAAAACATGAATAATGAAAGGAGCTAGCCATACCAAGATTGGAGGAAAGAGCATTCCCAGCAAGGGAAAGAGTAAGCAAGAGCACCCCAAAACTGATGGGACCTGGGCGTGTTCGCAGAGCAGAGTGGATGCAATGGAATGCAGGAAGCACAGAGGAGTAGGGTTAAAAGTGAAATTGTAAAGAGAGGTAGGAAGGAGCAGGTCTTTCAACTCACATTCATTCACCTCACTGAGCATGTGCCGAGTACTCTTCTAAGTTCTGGGGATACATCAGTGACCACAGAGTCCCTTCCTCCCAGGGTTGACGGTCTAGTGAAAGAAGCCTCATTGCGTCCTGCGGGCCCTAGGAAGCATTTTCATTTCGTTTTAATTATGTTGCCTTGTTTGAGCTACACAATTCTAAGATAGGTATTATTATCCTTTTAAAGAGAAGAAAATAGAGGCTCCCAGAGGTTAGGTTATATAACTTGCCGGAAATATATCATTTGTGGTGCAGGTTGTGGAGCGGGTTTAGCAGGAGAACAGAACCACATGCCCGTCCAAGAGTCACGTTGCTGGCAAGTGTAGAGCCTGGGTTCAAAGCCTAGACCATCTGGCCCCAAGGACCTTCTCCTACCAGCACACTCCTTCGCTCCTCTCAGTTAGAAAGAAAGAATATTTGCCGGTACTTTAGGTAAAGCCATGACAAATGTAACTAAACCATCGTTCAGGAATCACCCAATCATGGGGCCAGGGTCTGAAGCAGCCAGTTGGAATCCAAGAGTGCAGAGAACTGCCCCCTGCCCCTTGTCGGGCCAGCAGCGGCCCCCTGCTCTTAGCACCTCTGCAGCAGGAAGAAAAATGCCTCCACAGAGAGGACCACAGGGCACGGGTGTGCAAGGTCTCGAGGACGGGCAATGCCAGTTCTTCCCAGCGGAAGCAGGAGCAACAGCGTTTGGTGGAATAATCACAAGCATTGATCCTGCCGCAGAGCCATCCTGTGGCGTTTCCCAAGCTCTGGAAGGCACCACAGTGAATGGATTGGCCATTCTATTTGATGTTCACTTAATTAAGATGTCCTGTCCTTCTAATGGACAGTGTGAGGAGTGGAAATTACTATTTTTCAGCCATCTCATACAAATGAAAACCAGATCTTAAAAGCATGGGTCCTTTTCATTGTATTGTCTTCAGGCTCAATTTAATTATGTATTACAGGCTACCTTCAATAATAATTACAATTATCTGCCTTTATATTCAAAGCCTCCTTCTGTCCGGGGGAGGAAAACTCTAGGGAGACACCTAGGGAGATTGCTAAAGTACCGTTTAGTGAAAGCAGTTGTTTCCGTGTTCGTGCATTCAGCAGGTGTTCGTTCTGCGCCTACTGTGTGTCAAGCCTCTGCAAAGTCCTGCAGGAGGTAGTGTGTGAATGAATCATGGTCTCCGTTCTCCAAAAGAGCAGGAAAGAGGCCCCGCTCATCCAGTCAGGCACTAACTTATTTGTTCAGCCAACATTGCCTACTTGTCTTCTCTGTGCCGGTTCCAGTGCTGGGGAAGCAGAGGTGAACTGAGAGCCGACCTTCCAAGAGTCCCTTTGCTGGCAGGTGGTGGAATCCAAATTCCCAGCCTGGCTGGCTGGCTGGCTGACTCCACAGCCGAGTTCTGACTCAAGCATTCCCAGGTCTAATCAGGAGACAGCTTGTATGTTGGCTATTTTTTTCATTCTCACCAGAGGATCTGTTCATTGATTTGAGAGAGAGAGAGATCCATGTGAGAAAGAAACATTGATCAGTTGCCTCCCACACACTCCCCAACCAGCTACTGCCCTGACCGGGAATGGAACCCACAACATTTTGGTGTATGGGGTGGCACCGCAACCAACTGAGCAACCCGGCCAGGGCCATCAGCTATTCAATAAGGGGGACACATTCTGTGAGAGAACTGTGCCAGCGTCTCACAGGAGAGACCAGGGAGGGGTGTTTTGTCGTTGTTTTGTTTTGTTTTTATGAGGTGGCATTTGAACAAGGCCTTGTTAGAAGTAATATCGAAGTGACATCTGACCCCAATCAATAATCTCTCTATCAATTCTTATTTCTAAACCTCAAAATGTCCTTTTTAAGTGTTCTGCATGGTATAATGAAATGCTTTTTATCCAGTTAGGTCAGGAAATTAGATAGTTTGAGTAAGTTAGTCTCATTAATGGAGTTAATGTACATGGATAACAGGCGTTCAAAGAACCAGATGAGGTCAGCATCTATCCCGTGAAATTTTGGGGTAAAAATAGATCTTCCTGATGATTCAGAAGATGACTCAGGGTCTGACAGGGCCCGGCTTACTCGAGGACCACAGGCACAGTTCAGACGAGCAGGCAAAACCAGTTTCAGGAAGTCTTGATGTTTGGCATCCCCTTTGACTGAAGGGGCGTGGGCACTGGCGTTGGCAGATGTCCTATAATGAGACTCTTCTACAAATGCCAGTCATTTAAGAGGTCTTCTTCCCCAAGATGGCCGTGGTCACAAGTTCCTTCCCTGTGTGCTGTGACAACACTTCTGATAATGAAAATAACCATGTCGATTATAGAAAATCTTGACACATAAAACATCTATACATAAGCAACTAACATCTACTTCCAAGAGATTACCACTGTAAACCTTTCTGAGGAATTCCATCCTGTTCAGACCACCCGGCAGCCGTGGAGGGTCCAACAGAAGAGCAGCCTCTCTGGGAGTGACAGGGAGCAGAGCTCCGAGCGGGGCTCCAGCTGGGACGGGCCTTCGGACAGACGTTCCGGATCTCTACCCCAGACTCGCCCTCCTTCCCAGCGGCAGTCTCTGGGACCACTGCCCATCCAGCCCCAAGGGGCCCGCTGCACCTTTGACACTCTAGTCCGGGTCTCAGGCCACACCATCTCCCTTCCCTGATCCACACTGACCACTTCTTACAAGAATCGGACTCAGTGCTGAGGAAGAAAAAAGAGAAATCGTGACAGGAAACAGGTTTCCAAGGTCCATCAGTAACTGCCTGTGGGCGGATAGGAAGCAATGACAGCCGCCCCACAGCCCTGCTCCTCCGAGCCCAGGCACGAGACACGTGGTAGAGACCACTGCACTGCTTGTCATCTCAGAAAGGACTTCCATTTCCCTTCCTCATGGCTCAGCAGCAGAAATTCAGCTTCCCCAGAGTCCCTGGGCCCCTCCCTCAGAGTTAGTCACGGGCCAAGGCCTGGGGTGAGTCATTCAGAAGACCTTTACCAAGATAACATGCAAGATACAACACCTCCTCTGTGGCAAACTGTGCCAGGGACTGGCACCATTCGGTGCTGTAGAAGATGCCGTTCTCAGTACCAGGCACAGGGAAAGGAAGAAAGAGCTGGCAGGTGGCAGAGTCCATGCAGCACCCGAAGCTATCCTTTGGCAGAAAATTACTCAGCAAAAGGCCTACCTGGTCTCACCTGTTGAGTCTCACCTAAAACCATAGAAGCTGCAGGACCCAGTAAATCCACAGAAAGCCAGGTCCAGCAGAAGGAATCACAGAAGAGCCAGGACAGAGCTGAACTTCTGGGCCTTTCATTTCACCACTGTTAAAACCCTCAGGGGCCCAAGGGTGAGCTTTACTCCAGTAGTAAAAGCGAAGCAGTAAAAAAAGTCCAGTGGGGAAACCCAGAGTACAGGGGGGAGACATGTGGATGAACCCATGCTGCAAGCTTGAGCGTGAGTGGCAGTTGGAAATATTGGCATCTAGTGCTCACTTCAGCAACACACACACTAATGTTGGAACAATACAGAAATTAGCACAGCCCCTGCACAAAGATGGCATGCAAAATCATGAAGCCAAAAAAAAATACAGCTGATGAATTTTTCCCCATTCACATGCAAGTGCAAAAAGGTACCTACATTTTGACACTTCAGCCTCCCCTAATTAAAAATAATAACTAAAATGCTCTGGCTGGTGTGGTTCAGTGGATTGAGTATTGGTCTGAGAACCAAAGGGTCACCAGTTCAATTCCCAGTCAGGGCACATGTCTGGATTGGGGTCCAGGCCCCACTGGGGGTTGTGTGAGAGGCAACCACACATTGATATTTTTCTCCCTCTCCCTCTCCCTCCTTTCCCCTCTATCTATAAATAAATAAATAACATCTTTAAAAATAATAGTAGTAGCGAAAATGTTCATGGCCCAGTGCCTGCCATCCTGCAAGCACTGTGCAGCAGGTAGGCGAGCACATGCCATGGATGCTTGCAAACAGACAGCAGAGAAATGCTGTTCAAGGCAGAGGAGCAGGTGGTGGCGTGGAAGCAGACAGGTCTGCATTTGAATTTGTACTCCACCACACTTATCTGTGTGACCTTGAGCAGGTGACTTCATTGTTCTGAGCCTCCTCCAAAAGCGAGGTAATACATACCTTTTAGACTAGCTCTGAGGAGGATTAAATGGCAGGATGTATGAAAAGGGACTAGCACTGGTCCTGGCACATTGGAGGTGCTCAATAATGGTAGGTACTTCTGTCATTATTATCAGGAGAAAGGGGAAATGGATTCAGATTTCATTACAGTACTTCAGTGGCCACACCAGGGCAAAGCCGTGAGTGGTGAGAGTTGCTTGGTGCCAGATGTGAAGTCTGAATGGGAAGAAGTGGCCAGAGCCTATCTGTTTAGCCTGCTGTGTGGCACAGTCCTGGTTTGAATTCAGAGTCCTCATATCCCAGAATCTATAACTTCCTAGGAAACCCCATCTCTAGTGTTGTCCAGAGAAAATCTGTATACAAGCTCTTGGGAGGGGTTGAGACGGTGTCCAAGCATCAGGTTTGCCCGCATCAGCTGTGGGAGTGCCCCGGCTTTGAGACTCTGATCAGCAGTCTCCGATGGTCACCAGCATCTCAACCTCCATGGGTGAACATTAGTTTATAGCTACCGGGCACTTTCACAGGTTCCGCACAGCAATCCTGAGAGGTAGGCAGACGAGGGCATATCACCTCCACTTTAGGAAATTAGGAAAGGATGACTCAGAGAAGTAAGTCACTTGCCTGCAGCCAGATATCAGCAAGTGGAGCCTTATCCTGAAAACTATGTGCAAGGAGGTGTAGGAAACATGGAAATGTATCCAACTAGAAAGACGAACAGAGCATGCTGAACCGTAGCATCAGGTAGAACGGCCGGGTTCCAGCTCCAGCACCATTCCATTTCTGTTTCTCAGAACCACCCCTTGTTTTCAGGTACGACAGCTTTGGCCGTCTGACAAATGTGACCTTCCCTACTGGCCAGGTGAGCAGTTTCCGAAGCGATACAGACAGCTCAGTGCACGTCCAGGTAGAGACCTCCAGCAAAGATGACGTCACCATAACCACCAACCTGTCTGCTTCAGGTGCCTTCTATACTCTGCTGCAAGGTAAGCCAGGTGGGGGCCGGGAGACCCATTTGGAAGGGGATGATATAAGAAACCAGCTGCTACTGGAGCTGCCAAAGAATGGGAAAGCTATGCATTGCCACCTAATTTGCAAAACATACTAGCTGAGTCCTGTAAATTCTCTCCCAGCAGCTTCAGAGTAATATTTCATTGTCTCATCCCATTATCATCAGAACAAAGGGTAGAGAATCCATTAGCTCTTAATGGAGGTGACCTCACTGTTCTGCCATTCTAATGGCTCTCAGATTAAAGACTTACTCTCACACTGGTGCAGGAGAGGACAAAGGACAGAATAATTCCATCTAATTGTGAAAGGGATTTGGGCATGGGGAAGTCCTTCCTGAAGCTCAGGTGAGAGCAGCTCCTGCCTCTGCTAGGATGACGTGAAGAGGAGCCCCTTCCTCTCTGCATCCAACGCTTAGTCCCTGATTGGAGCTGATCTTTCAGCATCAGCTACAACACCCTGATGAACTACTGCTACGAACCGTCTGCCTCCAGTGCTCTCATGGGATGTGGTGACTTGGGGTGGAGCTTGCAGCTTTGTTGGACTTAGTAAGCATTGAAGAAAGACAGCAGCAGGAAAAGCCTTGCTTGGATTGTCCCCCACTCCCACAAGCTTTGACACAAAGTAATAAAAAGAACCTAGGCTGGGAGCCAGACACCCAAATTCTAGTCCCGACTCTGCCATATTACCAAGACCCTCGATTTTCTTCTCTGGGAAGAGAAAGTAAGTTGAAGCCACATTGAATGGGGTGGGGCTGTGCAAAGAGCTGGGGTAGACAGACGGGGATCCCCACACCTGCTGCAGCAGTTCCCACCCGTGTGAACTGGATGGAGTCACTCTTCCCTGGGCCTCAGTCTCTGGGTCTGGGAGATGGGGCTGATTTACAATGCCTGCCTCATAGGGCTGCTCAGACCATCTGAGACAACACACACAGAGTGATGAGCGCGGGCCAGGCACATAGTGTTGCTCAGTAAGTCGTCATCAGATTAATTAACTAATTAATTAACAAGCAGTTTGGTTTTGATTTGCCATAATAACTCTATATTTTCACAACCACTTTTACTCCCAAATGTATTCTTGTGCCTTTAAAAACTTAAAAAACATACAAAAAATGAAACTAGACCACCAACTTACACCATAAACAATAAACTCAAAATGTATTAAAGACTTAAATGTAAGTTGCAAAACCATAAAAATTCTAGAAAAAACATCAGTAAAATTTCAGACATTTCTTATAGTGATATTTTGCTGATATATCTCCTTGGGCAAGGGAAACAAAAGAACAAATAAACAAATGGGACCACATTAAACTAAAAAGCTTTTGCACAGCAAAAGAAACCATCAACAAAATGAAAAGGGAACCCAATGAATGGGAGAACATATTTGCCAATGATACATTTGATAAGGGATTAATTTCCAAAATATATTGTACAAAGAACTTACACTACTTAACACCAAGAACACCAAAAAAAATGTTTAAATGGGGAAAAGAACTGAAAAGATGCTTCTTTAAAGAGGACATACAGGTGGCCAATAGACATATGAAAAAATGCTCAACCTCAATAATCATCAGAGAGATGCAAATTGTAGCCACAGTGAGATATCACCTCACACCTGTCAGAATGGCTATTATCAATAAATCGACAAGTGCTGGTGAGGATGTGGAGGAAAGGGAACCCTGGTGCACTGTTGGTGGGAATGCAGACTGGGGCAGCCACTGTGGAAAAGAGTATAGAGTTTCCTCAAAAAATTAAAAATGGAACTGCCTTATGACCCAGCAATTCAACTTCTGGGAATTTATCTGAAGGAACCTGAAACACTAATTCAAAAGAATATATGCACCCCTATGTTCATTGCAGTTTGTTTTACAATAGTCAAGCTCTGGAAACAGCCCAAGTGCCCCTCAGTACATAAGTGGATAAAAAAGCTGTGGTACATTACACAATAGAATACTACTCAGCTGTAAAAAGGAAGGAAATGTTACCTTTTGCGACAGCATGGATAGACCTGGAAAAATTATTAAGCTGAGTGAAATAAGCCCGTCAGAGAAAAACACCATATGATGTCACTCATCTGTGGAATCTAATGAACTGACAAACAAAGAAGAACCAGAGGCATGGATATGTGGAACAGACTGACAGCTGTCAAGGGGTGGGGTTGAGCGGCCGGACGAGAGAAGGTGAAGGTTCAAGCAAACACACACACCGTATGAAACACAGAGGCACAGACCACAGATACCAGTGTGGTGTTAGCCAGAGGGAAAGGGGGGTGGGAGCTAGGCGGAGGTGGGCAGACGGAGGGGGAAGTGGGGACGGAAGAGGCTTCGCTTGGGCAGTGGGTGCACGATGCAGTGTGCAGTTGCTGTTTGTTGAGCTGTCCACCTGAAACCTGTATGGCTTTGTGAACCAGTGTCACGCCAGTACATTCAATTTAAAAAGCTCAGAACAATAGCAGTTCTCCGTCAAGGGAAGATCAAGCCCTGGATGCCTTCCCTACCAACCAACCACCTGTGGCAGTGGGTTAGGACACACCCCAGGTATTTAAGCTCTGCCTGGGTTATTGCCCAGAGAAGGCCCAATTCCAGGGCAGCCACGCTCTTGCCTGACCAGGGACAGCGAGGCCACCGATTGCTCAGACAGCTTGTCCTTCAGACCCACTTTCTTCCCTGTGATTAAGAATTGTCTCATCCACTCCATGCCCCTACGCTGGCTTTGAGCAGTTTTCTCAAAAGTTAATGCAGGCTTCCTTATATTTGGGCAACATTTTAAGATTCAAAAGCACTGTCAAAAAGGTTTTTAAATTATCATCAATTTAATAACAACTCCAAAGGTGGTGGTATGGGGTGAGGGGACACACTGCGTGAAATTTATACAAGGACTTAAGGCACATTGCCATTTCAGAAGCATTTAAATGGGAGAAGGAAAAGCACACGTTGGAATCCAGGGCACCGGGTACCTGTCCTCCCTTCCGGTGCCTGTGCCAGGCTCCCTCCCCTTCTTTCGTACTGGCCCAGGTGCTCGGTTTTGCAGCCACCCCGTCAGTTCTTGTAAAAAGCTCTTTCAGTTTCATCTTGTGTCTGAACTCTGGGAAGAAATGGGAAGTAGCTACTAATGAGCAACAACCTTGGGGAGTCACGGCTCCCGGTAAACGGGGATCATTTGAGATGGGCCTGTGCAGATGCTGTTCCAGCCGGAGCCACCGTTAATGGACATATGTGGATTCAGCAAGAAGCAGCTTTGAAAGATAAATTGACACAGGCGTTTTCACTGTTCAAAGGAAGCACAATACAGATTGTCAGTGAATAATGCACTGCAAGTTTGAGGCAGGTTTTAGAATTCCGAGTGTGACAGAGAAAAGGGAAGAAAATGGAGGGAGGAGGAAGTGGGCGAGAGAGGGGCCAGTTGGATGCTCTTCTAACAGGGCAGATGCACTGGGGGGT